TCTTTCGGTTGAGCTGTACGCGACTTGGTCAGTGGGCAATCGGCTACGTGGCGCCGGACGGAAACGTTTATCAGACGATCCCTCAGAACAAGTCGTTGATCCAGGCGTTGATCGACGGCTCTCGAGAGGGTTTCTACTTGTATCCAGACGGCAGGAACGTGAACCCTGACCTGACATGGGCGTTGCAGCCCAGTCCCGAAGGTCACGTCAAGGTTACGCCTGAACAGTACGAGATCTACTGCGAGATGGGCACCACGTTTCAGTTGTGCAAGATCTGCGCCGAGAACGACAAAGACGTCAAGATCGAGCCTTGCGGTCATTTGCTCTGCACGCCATGTCTCATCAGTTGGCAGGTGCGCGTTTTCTTCCCACAGTCCCAATTTCGAATCGCGTAACACTTCCCCACCCGACAGCTTTTCATTCTCTCTGTGTTTAGGAGTCAGAAGGCGGTGGCACTTGTCCCTTTTGTCGCTGCGAAATTAAAGGCACCGAGTCGATCGTTATCGATGCTTTTGAACCTCGTCTGAACCTCGCTGCCACTCAGCACCAGAGTATCCATATTGCAACGGCTAAGCTAATCGAGCCCGTCGCAGAAGTACGATTATTATCAATACGCACATTATGCTTCGTAAATAAAACCTAGACGTAGGTTAATGTGTATTATTGCTGTTATTAGTAGTATTGTGTTTCTGTGCCGCAGTATGTCAGTAAGCTTTTAATTCCACCATATCAAGTTTTATCGGCGTTTCAGGTCCCTTCCTTGCTTCTAGATGTTAAGGAAACCATTTAAGCAACCTTCGTTTATAAAGTCATTTTGTTCAGTAATCCATGAAATTTCGGTTTGAAAGGATATGCACTTAACCTCTCGAGTAGACGTTCATTTTGCTTGAATAATTATGTATAGTTTTGTGAGTCCCAAAAGACTAACAAGTCGGTTTGGTTAGTAGTTTGTACTATGTGCATAAATTCGTTTCTTCTTTAATTCATTTAAGAATTCACGTATTTTTAAGCTGTAAATTTAGTTACTTATATATGTGTTTCGAAAACAACGTCTGACGCTGATATGCTATCATCGAAATTATTCACGACCTCAAAGG